ATATATATATATATATATATATATATATATATATATATATATATATCCAATAATTGAAATGCGAGCGCTCAGGGGCATGATTTAATTCCAATTCTTGCAAAGCTGACAAGTCTGATCGTCATATTTTATGTCACACTGCTGCGGTGGATGAGCGGGGAATTGGTCGCGTTTCCGCACGAACACGTCGTTCATGCGCTCACACTCACGCTCTCACTTTCCGCTGCTCGTCCGCCAGCAGGTCGCGCGACGCCCCCTAGCTGCCGTCACGGCAAACATGTTACTAGTATCGTCGACTTCAGATATGATTGAGTTGAGGGAATGACGTGCGAGCTGGCAGAACCATCGGAATTATGACGTCAGCACGCGGGCGCCGGCGCACGCACGCACGCACGCGTGCACACACGCATGCATGCACGCACGCACGCGTGCACGCGCGCATCATGAGCGAGCACGCACGCACGCATGCTCTTACGCGTCATGAGCGAGCACGCACGCATGCACACATGCACGCACGCACGCACGCACGCACGAACGCACGCACGCATGCACGCACGAACGTTCGCACGCACGCACGCACGCATGCATGCACACACACACACACACACACACACACACACNCTAAAGAACTCGATGATGCAGTCCGGCACCTGCCTGCTCCACCTACTAACTATGACACTTTCGTAAAGATGATCAAGAAATCATCTAGGAACAACATGCCTCGAGGGTGCCGCACAAGTTACATCCCAGGTCTGACGGGTGACTCCGAAGCACTTTTTGAGGACTATGTAAACTGTTTTCAGAGTGATCCGTTCGGTGACCACACGCTTGACTCTGGTGAGAAACTAACTGAAGCCGTAGCAGAAGGAAGACGGAGGAAATGGCAGGAACTGATCCAGTCCACAAACATGACCCATTGTAGTAGAAAAGCGTGAAAGNAGCCAGCCAGCTAGGCCCGCAAGGGAAATTTTTTTCCCTTGGAGGTGCCGCGGACCACAAAGCACTCGCGCACTCATTCAACTCGACTTCTCACAGCAACAAGTAAGAGGAGGTGGGGATGGCTCGCCCCCCCTTCCCATAACCCTACCCTAACACGTACGCAACGCCTAACACTAAGCTATAATCCACCCTATATATGAAGAACCATTTTTACAAACACTATCTATGGTGGGTCCGCGAAAAAATTTCGCGGCCGGCCGCCAAGGTCGCGTGCGACGAGAGGCTGGACGTGTATATATGTCAACATTATAGCCGTGGGACGCGAGCTCCCTTAAGAACATACATAGTTTGCAAGCTTCGAGAATATGGCGGTTTGACAGGCTAGGGAAATATACACACGCACGCATACACATCACAATGCAAAACTAGACAGAGGGCACTCACGGGAGTGACATACCTCCGCCAGCAAGTAACATGTTGTGTGTGCCTTACGAGCTGGCTCGTCGCCGCTCCGCTGCTGGCTGGGCGCTGACTGAACTCAGCCTTGCTAGCTGACTCGGCCGCTCGCTGGGGTGGCGGCTGCTGCACTCACCGCTCGCTGCGTGGTTGCTGCTGGACTCACTCTGCCTGCTGACTGACTTCGCGCTCTGCTGACTCGACGCGCGATCGATCGCGCCGCACGGACTTGCGACACACATAACACAACACCACACACACACACACACACACACACACACACACACACCACCACACACACACACACACACACAACGAGACATTACATTACCTTCCTCCCTCCGTTTACTCCGGTTAACTCCGTGGCGGAGTAAGGAACCTGAATACAGAATCAATATCATAGGCCTAAAGCCTAAATACCATGTCAATACGTAATTACATGCCATTACACGTAAACACATGACCATTAATACGCCCAATTACGCCTTGGCCCATGTAAGTACAAATTTATCATACTTCATTGTCTCATAGCTGATCATCTTATAAGTGCCATGTAATACAATTCATATGTTTAGTAAACTAGACACGTCGCGAAGAGCACAGCACTTCCGCCAGGGCCAGCTCAATTTTCTGGAGCTGATGATAGATTTTATTAATTAATTAATTATTAATCTAATAATTAATATGATACATCGGATGACGACCAAAATGTAATCACTTCAATTACCAGATTTCTGACGCTAACTAAAAATTTATTAATTCATTGGATCCGGATCACCACCAATATGCTAATCAAGTTCTAAGTTACCATTCTGACCTATCCTGAAAAGGTTATCAATTAATTAATTAATTATTAGATTAATTTGGATCCCGGATCACCACCAAAATCTAATCAGTTCTAAGTTAGCCCATGTCTGACCTATCCTGACGTATATCCAGACACCGTGTTGTATATAATATGCACTATATGTACCCGGATAATATCTACATGACAACATGTAATCTACAGACAAGATAGGTAACCTACAGGGATGGTAACCAAGAAATGATATACGTCGTTTACGTGAATCAGTACAGCGTAGTATGTGCATCATATAGACGACTAGAAATTAATATAGTTTATGCCGATTGTTTTCATGTATCACTAATTCATACGTAATATTTCCGTATAATATACGGTGTATGTACATTCCGTATTGTCGAAAAACGTTGAAAAATGTTTGGCATCCGATGAAAACTAATGTAAACCGATCTTGTGTGAAAAACAGTAGTAGTAGTGGTAGTAGTAGTAGTAGTAGTAGTAGTAGTAGTAGTAGTAGTAGTAGTAGTAGTAGCCAGCAGTAGTTTAAGTAGTCAGTAGTAGTGTGAGCGCAGGCAGAGCAGCAGCAGCAGCAGCAGCAGTCTAGGTAGTATAGTCAGTGAGTGTAGTAGTAGCAGGGGCAGCAGGCAGCGCAGCAGCAGCAGTAGTAGTGTAGTAGTGAGTCAGTCGTGAGTAATGAGCGTAGTAGTGGGATGATAGTAGTAGTAGTAGTATAGCAGGAGTAAGATAATATAGGTAGTAGAGGTATTGGTAGCGATGGTGGGTATAATTAGTAGTGGTAATAATTGATAGTGGTGGTAATAATGAACCTGTGTGTGCTGTGGCTGTACATCTGATATCGGTAAGGGGATCGCAGCCGATGATGACAGACATGCTCGTTGGTAGTATGCTCCCAGTCTCACGACCCCAGCCTCCTCAGTAGCAGCTGCTGCGCCATGTTGCCTTCCCTCCGTCTCTCCTATCGCACGAGCGAGACGATGACGATGATACTCTCCGCTTATGATGAATGCAGATCTGCAATCAGATAATGCGCGGCCTGAGGCGCGGGTACTTGCGCTCGTGCACGCGTGCTCGCTAGTAGAATCCTGGCTCTAATAACATACCAATGTAAATTACTTACACTCTACGCGTGCAGTACGTACGTGCCAAATTATATATCTATTTGTGTGATGCGTAGGAGCTATAATATGAACTAATATATAATCTGAATTTGTACTTGATATGAGCTACAGTTCATATAGTACGTCTGTTTGAAATCAGTATTGACGTAGCGGGTTCCAGGGCCACTGTTATGATGGCTATTCAAGCTCTGGCTTGGTTGGACTATTTACATACACTTGTTCACTTTCTCTCTCCTCACTCGTCTTGCCTGTTTTCCCCTTTCTCGCGCGCTCTCTCTCTCTCTCCCTCTCTCTCTCTCTCTCTCTCTCTCTCTCGCCCTCACTCTTCCCTCTTTCTTCTCTCTCTTCTCTCTCTCTCTCTCCTCTCTCTCTCTCTCTCTCTCTCTCTCTCTCTGCTCTCCTCTCTCTCTCTCCGCTCGCTCTTTCTCTCTCTCTCTCTCTCTGTCTCTCTCTCTCTCTCTCTCTGTTCTCTTCTCGCTGCTCCTATCTCTCATCCCCCTCTCGGCTCTGCGTCTCTGCTCATCTCTCTCTGCTCTCTCTCTCTCTCTCTATCTGCGATGGTCCTCTCTCTCTCATCTCGCTCTCGCCTCGGCGTCGCTCTCTGCTCTCTGTCACTCCTCTCTCTTCCCTCTCTTCTCCTTCTCTCTTTCTCTGTTCACTCTCTCTCCTCTCTCTCTCTCGTCTCTCCTCTCTCTCTCTCTCTCTTCCTCTCTCTCTCTCGTAACACGCTCTCTCTCTCTCATCTCTCTCTCTCTCTCTCTCTCTCTCTCTCTCTCTCTCTCTCTGTAACGCTCTCTCTCTCTCTTCTCCTCTCTCTGCTCTGCTCTCTCTCTCTCTCTCTCTGTCATTCTCTCTATCTCTCATTCTCTTCTCTCTCTGTTCATCCTCTCTCTCTCTCTCTCTCGCTCTCTTTCTCGCTCTCTTTGATCACTCCTTTGTCACTCGTCTCTTTCCTGTCGCTCTCTGTGTCTCTCGTTTCTCTCTGCTCTCGCCCTCTCTTCTTGTCTCTCGCTGTCTCTCGCTGTATCTTTGTCTCCCGCTGTCTTTACTTCCTCTCTCTCTCTCTCTCTCTCTCTCCTCTCTTCCTGCAGCTCTCTCTTCTCTCTTTCCGCTGCTCCCCTTCTCTTCTACCCTCTCCCGGACTCTCTCCTCTTGCAGGCTGTCAACCGATACATCGGCCGCACACGTGAGTTTGTTTCTCATTAAGTGACGATTAGCTGGCCACAGATAACAACCGCAATTATTGCGACTGTACTCTATACAATTGGCGTGCGTGATGCCAGCGTGCAACGTATGACGCACGGGAAGCCATAACTTGCAGACGATTAAGATGTTTGTAAGTTGGGTAGCCACTGTTGCAATTTTACACGTTCTAGAAATCATCGAGCGCATTTTAGTTAAACACGGTAGAGATGCGCCGCCAGTCCGCGCGCGTGATGCCGTGTAATTGATGCGGCATTTAAATTACTCCGGTTGTATGTTCTCATTTTATGCGTGCAGCTTCGAATATCCGCCTAATGAAGCGGCTTTATCTCCGTTTATATACTCTTGTGGGCTGGTGCTCGCGGACCGCTTCTGATACTGCCCAAAACCTACCCAAGTATAGGAATAACTATATATATATACTATATATATATATATAAATAGACGCTATAGTATATAGATAAGATTATGCATAGCACAGACGCTTGACCAAAGCTTTTGCAGCGTCTGTCCATGATGCTCGCGGTGCGGGATGTATATCGCACTCTTGTTGTTGTTTTGTTTTGTCCGTGATGCAATGCATAGGAGGCCAAAACTCTACATCTACTCTATATCACAATTCTACGTCTGACGATCTAACATCTAACATCTATACATCTACATCTACGTTCTACGTCTCATCTAACATCGTAACATCTACAGTCTTACATCTACGTCTACTCTTACATCTACATCTTACGTCTACGTCTACATCTACATCTACCGTCTACGTCTACATCTTACATCTACATCTACATCTACATCTACCCGATCTTACCAGGTGTATCGCATTCATTCGTGCAGGCTTAGTGATGGGGTGCAGTGAACGCCGCTATTTGCTTAGCATGAACAGTAAATAGCGTACGTTTTAGAACGGCTGAACATCTCACACAGCGGTTGGCTTGCCACACGATTCTTCCAATTAGGCACTTTATTTCATTATGTTGGCCATCACCGAAAAAATGAGAATCTACAACACTTCGCAATTATTCGCGTGAAGCCGTGAAGTGATGATGCGGATATGGATAGATGATCAGGAATTCCTGCTTGTGTGGCGTCCGTGCGTGCTCCTGTGTGCGTGCGTGTGGGTGTGTGTTTGTGTGTGCGCTGGTGTGTGTGTGTGTGTGGCGCTGCCGCGGTGTGGGGCTGTGTGCGTACGTGTTGTGTGTGGTGTGCGTGCGTGCGTGCTTCGGTGTGGCGTGCGATGTGATTTGTGTGTCGGTGTGTTGGATGTTTGTTGTGTGTGCTGTGTGTGTGCGTGTGTGATTGTGTGCTGTGTGTGGTGTGTTGTGTCGTGTTGTGGTGTGTGTGGGTGTGTGTGTCGCTGTGTCGTATGTGTGTGTGGGTGTGCATGCGTGCGTGTCGTATTGTGTGTGTGTGTGTGTGTGTGTGGGTGTGTGTGTGTTGTGCGCGCGGTGTTGTGTGTGTGCTGGGGTGTGTTGTGGTGCTGTGTGTCGTGTGCGTGTGTCTTGGCGTTGCGTGGGGCGCGCGGGCGACTGGCAAGTGCCCGTGTGTGTGTGGTGTGTGCTGTGTGTGGTGTGTGTGGTGTGGGTGCGGCTGGCTCCGCCCTCGGGGCGCCGCGGCGGCGGGCGGTGTCGGCCAGCGGCGTGGTGTCGTGGCGCTGCCGCTGCGTTAGACGTGTCGGCGTGTGTGCTGTGTGCGTGTGTGTGTGGTGGGTGTGTTGTGTCGTGTTGTGTGCACGGTGTCGTGTTTGTAGCGTGCGTGTGGTGTGTGTGTGTGTGTGCTGTGTGTGTGTGGTTCGGCGTGTGTGTGCTCCTGCCAGTGCGTGCGTACGTGTCGGTGGGTGGTGTGGTTGAGTGCCTGGGGGTCCTGGGTGGTGCAGTGCGTGCGTCGCGGTGGTGCGTGCGTGTGGTGTGTTGTGGTGGGGTGGGTGGGGGGGGGTTGTGATGGTGAGTGTGTGTGTGTGTGTGTGTGTGTGTGTGTGTGTGTGTGTGTGTGTGTGTGTGTGTGTGTGTGTGTGTGTGTGTGTGTGTGTGTGCGTACGTGCGTGCGTTCGTGCGCGCGTGTGTGTGTGCGCACGTGTATGTGGTGTGTGCATGTGCATGCTGCAGTTTTTCCGCCGACACTGTGCCTATGATAACTATGACGGTGCTACGCGGTAATAAAGCTGATGGTGAAATGTTGCCCGTGTTGCTTCTTCCTCCAACAGCGACGGCTCCGGTACATCATTTGCATTCTATTATGCTTGCGTTCCAACAGATGGCAGCACTAGTGCAACGTCCAACGCGAATTCCAACGTCATCGATTCCATTACGTTTACGGCAACGTTATCTTGTTTCAGCCGATTTTCCATATCTATAGTAGCACACGCTTTGTTACGGTACAAGCATACAACAATGAAACCCCGGCATATATATATATATAATTACTACTATAGGAGTAGTATAGTGATATACTATATCCAATAATTGAAATGCGACCGCTGCGGGGGCATGATTTAATTCCAATTCTTGCAAAGCTGACAGGTCTGATCGTCATATTTTACGTCACACTGCTGCGGTGGATGCGCGGGGAATTGGTCGCGTTTCCGCACGAACACGTCATTCATGCGCTCACACTCACGCTCTCACTCTCCGCTGCTCGTCCGCCAGCAGGTCGCGCGACGCCCCCTAGCTGCCGTCACGGCAAACATGTTACTAGTATCGTCGACTGCAGATATGATTGAGTTGAAGGAATGACGTGCGAGCTGGCAGAACCATCGGAATTATGACGTCAGCACGCGGGCGCCGGCGCACGCACGCACTCGTGCACACACGCATGCATGCACGCACGCACGCGTGCACGCGCGCATCATGAGCGAGCACGCACGCATGCACACATGCACACACGCACGCACGCACGCACGCACGCACGCACGCACGCACGCACGCACGCACG